ATTTATTAAAGTATAATGTGGTGATAAGAGTGAACCCTAATCCAATATGTTTGGTGTCTTTACAAGAAGAGGAAATTAGGAGACACAGACATATGTACACACAAAGGGAAGATCACATGAGAACATAGGGAGAGGACAGCCAAGGAGAGAGGGCTCAGAAGAAACCAAACCTGATGACATCTTGATCTTGAACTTCCAGCCTCCAAAACTGTGGGAAAATAAATTTCTGTTGTTTACTTTCCATCCAGCCTGTGGATTTATTTTGGCGGCCCTAGCAAACTAATACAACATGTAATTAAGTTTCTCTTAGTACTTTTCCATCCACTGACCCCCTTGCTTTGCTCTTTGGCGATGAATCCCCAGCTGCCTTTGCTGTGTTTAGCACTGAGTTTAGTTCTGCACTGAGGTTCTCCCCCCTACTGCAACAGCTGCAAGGTCTTATGATCATAAAGAATTACTATTACTTATCACATGAGAAAATATCCAGTGTTTTTATAGAGGCAAACTATAACATGTAGGAGTAAAATCATATAATATTGGGGATCTGCTTCAGATCCCCAAATTGGTGAAGCAAATATGCCATATTCTTGATAACTGTGAAATTTGAGTGGTGAGTATACAGGTTTCATTGAACTACTCTCTCAATTATGAGTACATTTGCAAATTTCATAAAATATTAACACTATACCTATTTTACATTTAATTTTCTGAAGACATACTTAAGGCATGTCTTATAAATGAATTGAGGCATGGAAGAAATCCTTATAAGGCATGCCTTATGAACACTAATTATCACTGTTCCTTAAAGTAAACATAGTATTGCTCTTAACTTCTGAAATACTATGGAAGTTTAATTCCCTGTGGTCAGAGAACATATTCTACCTCATTTAAATCTTTCCAAATTTGAGAATTGTTTGAGAGTCAAAATATTATCTACTATGGTAAATTTTATATGCACCTGCAAATAATATGTATTTTGCTTTTTTGGGGAGGAATTCTGCATAAATGTCAATTAGATCGAGTTGGTTGATAGTATTTTCAACTCTTCCATATTCTTATGAATTTTCAGTCCACAGTAATTGAAAGAGAAGTTTTGAAATCTCTAAATACAGATTTCTATTTCTCTTTTCAGTTCTATTATTATTTTCTTTGTGTATTTTGAAGGTTTGTTATTGGGAGTATACCAACTGAGGGTGGTTATTTCTTCTTGGTGAATTAATTTGCTTTTTCATTATCATGAAATGTCCCTCTTTATCTCTGGTGATATTATTCCTTTCCTACAGTCTACTTTGTGAGCCACTCCAGCTCTCTTATGATTACTATTTGCATGCTGTACCATTTTCCATCCTTCCACTTTTATTTCTCTGTCTTTGTATTTAAGGCTCATTTCCTGTAGTTAGCATATAATTGGGTCTTGCTTTTTAAATCTAGCCTGACAGTTTCTGCATTTTAATTAGAATGTTTAAACCATTTACATTTGATATAATTTTTAATATAGTTGGGTTCAAGTCTACCAACTTGATATTTTTTTTTCTATTTGATTCATGTTTTTTGTTCTTTTATTTTTCCTTTCCTGGTTTATTTCAGATTGGGTTTTTAAGGATTCCATTTTATCCCTAAAGAAAGTTCTTTTTATATTTATTGATGAATAGCCACACTAGTTTAAAAAATAGCATTTTGTGTGTATCTGAAAAAGTATTTTACCTTCATATTTGAAAGATATGTTTGCTAAATATAAAATTTTTGGTTATAGATTCTTTTTCTCTATTTGAAAGATGTCATTCTACTGTCTTCTAGCTCGCATCTTTCTAAAGAGAAGTTTGTAGTCATCTTATTGTTGTTCCCCTAAATGTAGTCTTCTGCTCCTCTAGCCACTCTTAAAATTTTTTCTTTATCATAGGTTTTCAGCAGCTTGATTATGATATGCCTTGATGTACTTTCATTAGTGTTTACACTGTTTGAGATTTGTTTTACTTCTTGGATCTGTGGGTTTTCACTTTTTATCAAATTGATTTGGGGGCCATTTTTTTTTCTAATACATTTTCTCTGCTACTGTCTCTCACCCTTCTTTTATTTTCGAATTCCAATTACAAGCATGTTAGACAACATGCCCTGAGGCTCTGTTCATTTTTTTCTAGTCTTGTTTCCTCTCTATGCTTCTGTTTTCACAGATTTTATTGCCCCGTCTTCAAGTTTACTGATCTTTTCTTCTGCAGTTTTGAATCTGCTGTTGATCCCATCTAATGAACTTTTCATTTGCAAAATTATTTTTCACTTCTTGAGATCCCATTTGTTTTTCAAGTCCTTCCTTTTCTCTTCAGACTGCATTCATGTTTTCTTTTACATGCTTAAACATATTTATAATATTTATAAGAGCCATTTAAAATTCTTTATCTCCTCATTCTATCATTCCTGTCATTCCTGGGTCTGTTTTTATGGACTGACATCTTGCCTAGTTCTGTATCACAATCTCTGCTTCACATATCTCACAATATTTTATTGGGTGACAGGCATTTTGAATATAACTGATAAATATATGGATTTTTTTTTCCTTTTTAAAGAGTGTTGACATTTGTTCTGGCAAGTAATAAAGTTACTTGCAGATGAGGTTGATCTTTTTGAGGCTTGCTTTTATGTTTTCTTGGGGTATCTAGAGTAGCCTTTATTCTAGAGCTAATTCATTCCTACCACTAAGGCTTGGTGCTTTGTATTGTCTATTGAGTGCTTCAAGTGCTCTGTGAGGTCTCCAACTGAACAGATGGAGTTCAGATATCCTGCCTCCTGGTGTGAGTTCTAGCAACTTTTCGGCTTATACCTCACTGTTCTTTATTCACTTCCTAGAATTCCACCTATGCATGTACAGATTGGTATTACGTAAAGACTCAAAGAGACCTTACATAGGTGTTTGAATTTCTTTGAGTATCTTCCTCCTCTCTGCTATCCTGTCTCACCTCTGCTCCCCAAAGCCGGCTTTCTTCTCCTCAATTCAGCTAGATCACCATGCTCTGCCTGGATTCCCCCTCCCTGCCTGACAGCATGAAAACTGCCTCCAGAAGAAAACAGCGTTGATTATACAACTCGCTTCATTTTTTCCTATCTCTTAGGGACGACAGCCTTGTCCAGCCTCTTGTCCTGATGTCCAAATCTAATTGTTTTGCCTGTTTTGTCCAGCTTTCTAGTTCTTTTGGCCCAAAAAGAAACAACAACAACAACAAAAAACAGCAAACAGCATGAATTCCATACTAGCTACTCCTTCATGGCTGGCTAGAGAAATTCTGAAAACTGTTTTCTGTGTTTTTAAAATCACTTTACTTCCTTGGGACTCCTTGGAATTGTAACTTGAGAAGGTTCAAACAGACAGTTAAACCACCTGTGACAGATCTGTGCGAAGTGCCTGCCAGCGGTCCTGGGAGGCTGCCTGGAGTGTCCAGGAGCTTCTGGGCCTGAGGAGGGAACAGGTCTGGGTGTGGCCATCCAGGGTTAGTGGCCAAGTCGGTTGCAGAGCAGAACAATAAGGGATTCATGCAAAACCCTTCTAACAGCTGTCGTTTCGTTACTTTGCGTGAACGTATTTGCTCCCTCTCTCAAAAATACAAAAAGTAAAAGGCAGAATTTACAAATATGTGGCTCTCCCTATAGTGGATGAACTTGGGATTTCCCATGAATGAGACTCCTGATGAGCCACAGTTGAAGAGAGTCACCTGGGTCTATGGCCACACTCACACCCACTGCAGGGCTCTGTGGTTTTGGGAGTAAAGAACTTCCTTCTGAATTAGCAGATCCTCGTAAACTCAAATTTCAGGAATATCTGATTAGATCTAAAGATAACTGCAATCCACATGCTGTGGCTCATGCTAGTAATCCCAGCACTCTGGGAAGCTGAAGCAGGAAGATTGCTTGAGTCCAGGAGTTCAAGACCAGCCTGGGCAATATCACAAACTCCATCCTTACCACAAACACAAATATTAGCTGGGCATGGTAGTACACACCTGTAATCCCAGCTACTCAGGAGGCTAAGCTGGGAGAATCACTTCAACCCATGGGGGAGGCAGTGAGCCAAGATCACACTACTGTACTCCAGCCTTGGTAACAGAGCAAGAACCTACCTCAAAAAAAAAAAAAAAAGACAATTGTGCTAGACATTCGCTTGTGCCCACAGCCCTCCCTAGAGAAAGATGCCCACAAACCCTGCCTAGCAGGCCTGCCTTCAGCTGCCACGTTTTGTGCCCCTCAACCCTAGCCCTTCTCAAGTTCACTGGAGTGGACGCCTGACTCTAGTAGTGAAACACCTGCTGCTGGTGACTTGTAGGGTGTCTGCGAGGGAAAAATTCCTTTGCTTAAAAGGAAATGAACTAGTAAACACCAAACGAACGAGACATTTCATAGTGAGAACTGAAACTCAAAAGACATTTAAAGAGACAGCCAGGAGCTGGGAAGGGGCTTCCATCTCGCAGCCAACCCCTCTGTGAAAAGGGGGCCTCAGGTCAGAACCCCTCCCCAAGGCCCCCTCCCTCCCCTTCCTTTCCCACAACCCACTGGTCCCTCCTAAGTCCAGATTGGTTTTCTATTTGACACCATCCAGGGGTTCTCCTGTCCCCAGGACCCTTGTCCAAGGGGCTTCGGAACAACATCTGGCCATTTCCTGCCCTTCTAGGCCCCCTCCTCCCTGAAGGTTGCTCAGACCCCAGTGCAGGCACCCACCTCCCCTGGCCTCCCGCCACACCTCCTGTCTGCCCTGACACAAAGGAACCTCCCCACTTCCCCTTCAGAGATAACAAGATTTGACAGCATGACCAAAGTATTTCTGAGCTTCCAGTGAAAGTCAAGTCCACGGTCGCCACTGCTGACTAGTCGATCTGCCCCCACGTCCACGGCTGTTCCACCCGCTTTCCTTCCTTCATGCATGAAGGTCAAACCCAGGCCTGGCTCTTCGTGAACCGAGAAGAGTGGATTGCAGAGCTGTCTCCCCAGAGCCCTCCCCAGCAGAGATCCTGACTCACCCAGGACAGGGGGCTGAGGCCAAGGGCTCTGCTTCCAGATGCTTCCTCTGCGTTCAGCTTCCAACGTCCGCCCTGCCAAAGTGCCCCTCGGGAGCAAGCAGGAGTCAGTCCCCAGGGACATGTCCCCCGCTCGCCCCTGAAACCACAGGACCGCTGCTGTGAGGGAGGAATGGGAACACCACTAAGGCACAGCAGCCGAGAGCTGGGGATGAGACACAGAGGAAAAACCACCTAAAAATAGTCACTGGAGCCAAACCCTGGTCTCAGCCGGGAGCAGTGCCCCACATGCGAATGCACTCATGGGTGGAGAGGGGGACACGTCCCCTCTGCAGAAAGCATCTGAGCAGCAGCTGAAACAGGCTGAGCCCAGGCCCAGACCTCAGACTCCATCCTGCACCTGCCCCCTGTCCCTGCGGTTTGGCCTGACCCTGCCTCTGTTTGCAAAGGGCTGTCTGGGGCCCCCTCTCTGTGCTCCCCTGAAATTGCCCCACAGGCATCAGCCTCAGGCTCTGAGACCAGAATGTCACCTTCCTGTCACATGCAGCGTGACACTGTCTCTAGCTGGTTCCCTCCCCACAGCACAAAGGGTGAAGGGGGCCTGAGCAATGACGAGGTGGGAGGCGCACCCTGGGTGTGGCAGAGTCCCTCTCGCCTCCAGGCTCCAGCCGACAGCTTGAAGGTCAGGGTCCGTGAGAACGTCCTCCTCCCACACTGCAGCAGGCAGGCCGTCATCACCGACCATTCTTCTAGGAAACAGCAGCTCCTGTCCCCTCCTCCTTGCTTCTAAATGCACCAGGCACACACCAGTCCCGACTCCTTTGAATGGCCCAGGTGGTCACATCAGCCAGCTCCAGAGAAAGGTCAGCTTTGACAGCCCTGGGTAGGGACCCAGGTGCCCATGATAGGTGTCAAATGAACCAAATCTGTACATAGGTGAGGGGCTTTACCGGAAGGAACATTGAGAGGGAGGATCCTCCATCCCACAGCCCCACAAGCCTCCGGAAGGCCAGCGAGGACGGCTCCTCTCCCGAGAGGGGAAGGAGGAAGCTGGCATGACGCGGTTGTTGGTGGGAATGGACGGGCCCAGATGCCAGAAGCGTCTGGAGGGTCCTGGGACTGAATCAATGAGGTTTGCTACCAGGAGAGAGGGAAGCTGATTCTATTCTCAGACATCTGGGGAAGCCCAGAGGCCCCAAGATCCACACCAGGAAGCAGCCAGAAGGGCACAGAGCAGGGCCCAGAGGCCACAGCTGCAGAGCAGGGCTGTCCCCAGAGCCCTGCTGGCAGGGGAGCTGTGTCTGGAGAGGGGGCCGTGGAGCAGTGCTAGGGTGAGACCCAATTGTACAGTGGTCCTGAGCCAGTGGGGTGGGTGTCCTCCTAAGGAGAGGAAGGGACTGCAGAGCCAGCCCCCACTCCAAGGACCCTGTTGGAGCCGGGAGGGGCTTCGCCAGGCCCAAGCCCCCAACCCCCTGTGGGATGCCCAGCGCCGGAGCAGTGAAGAATCCAAGTTGCTGCTGAAGGCCCGGGGCGTGGTACTGAGTTCTGGCCGCCCAACCTCACCAGCACCACAGGGGTGGCGGCCAGGAGGACGGGGCTCAGACACCTGGCCCCACACGCGTCCATGCAGCCCAGTCTCAGGAGGACACCGTCCTACAGGCAGGCCCCAGACAGAGGGGCACGGGCACAGGCACAGGCCTCACGTCTCCTGGCCACAGAGAAGGCATCATGGGAGTGTGTGTGTGTGAGTGTGCAGTGTGTGTGTTATGAGGTGTGCACAGTGTGTGTGGGGTCTGCGTGTAATGTGCAGTGTGATGTGTGCGATGTGTGTGTGTGACATGTGCACTGTGTGGTGTGCAGTGTGTGTGTAAGATGTGTACAGTGTGTGTGTGTGTGATGTGTGCCGTGTGTGTGTGTGATTTGTGCAGTGTGTGTGTGTGTGTGTATCTGGGTGTGTGACGTGTGTGTGATGTGTGCAGTGTGTGTGTATATCTGGGTGTGTGATGTGTGCAGTGTGTGTGTGTATATCTGGGTGTGTGTGTGTGTGTGTGATGTGTGCAGTGTGTGTGTGTGTGCAGCTGGGTGTGTGATGTGTGTGTGTGATTTGTGCAGTGTGTGTGTGTGCTGGGTGTGTGATGTGTGTGTGTGATTTGTGCAGTGTGTGTGTGTGTGTGTGTGTGTGGCCCTAGTCCCTGGGTTGTTCCTTCTTGCCCTCTGGAAAGTAAGCACAGCACAGCCTGGCCATCCCCTCAGAGTCACACCTGGAACGAATGCCGCCCACACAGCTGTTCCCCCCCTTTCCAGAGACTGAACTGCAAGCTCTGGGCTGGCGCAAGCTCTGGGTTGGTGCAAGCTCTGGGTTGGTACAAGCTCTGGTTTAGTGGAAGCTCTGGGTTGGTGCAAGCTCTGGTTTAGTGGAAGCTCTGGGTTGGTGCAAGCTCTGGGATGGTGGAAGCTCTTGGTTGACGGAAGCTCTGGGCAGAAGTTCTGGGTTGGCAGAAGCTCTGGGTTGGCAGAAGCCCTCAGCTGATGGAAGCCTTGGGTTGGCAGAAGCTATAGGTTGGTGGAAGCCCTGGGTTGGCAGAAGCTCTGTGTTGGCAGAAGCTCTGGGCTGGCAGAAGCTCTGGGTTGGCAGAAGTTCTGGGTTGGTGCAAGCTCTGGGCAGAAGTTCTGCATTGGCAGAAGCTCTAGGTTGGCAGAAGCTCTGGGTTGGTGGAAGCTCTGGATTGGTGCCCGCTCTGGGTTGGAGGAAGCTTGGAGCTGGTGGAAGCTGTGGGCTGGCAGAAGCTCTGGATTGGTGGAAACTCTGGGTTGGCAGAAGCTCTGAATGGAAGCTCTGGATTGGTGGAAGCTCTGGGTTGATGGAAACTCTAGGTTAACGGAAGCTCTGGGTTGGTGCAAGCTCTGGGTTGGAAGAAGCTCTGGGTTGGTGGATGCTCTGGGTTGGTGGAAGCTCTGCATTGGTGGAAGCTCTGAGTTAGTGGAAGCTCTGGATTGGTGGAAGCTCTGGGTTGGCAAAAGCTCTGGGTTGGTGCAATCTGGTTTGTTGGAAGTAAGTTTGGTGTTGGTGCAAACTCTGGATTTGGTGCAAACTCTGGGCTTAGTGGAAGCTGAGTTGGCAGAAACTCTGGATGGAAGCTCTGGATTAATGGATGCTCTGGGTTGGCAGAAGTTCTGGGTTGAGGTGAAAGCTCTGGGAAGAAGCTGTGGGTTGGAAGAAGCCCTGGGTTGGTGAAAGCTCTGACTTGGTGCAAGCTCTGGGCTAGTGGAAGCTCTGGGCAGAACCTCTGAGTTGAGAGAAGCTCTAGGATGGTGTAAGCTCTGGGCTGGTGCAAGTTCTAGGTTGGTGGAAGCTCTGGGTTGGTAGGAGCTCTGTGTAGAAGCACTGGGTTGGTGGAATCTCTGGATTGGTATAAGTTCTGGGTTGGTGAAAGCCCTGGGTGGAAGCTCTGGCTTGGTGGAAGCTCTCGACTGGTGGAAGTTCTGGACTGGTGGAAGCTCTGACTTAGTGGAAGCTGTGAGTTGGTGGAAGCTGTGAGTTGGTGGAAGCTCTGGGTTGGTAGAAGCTCTGGGTTGGTAGAGGCTCTGGGTTGGTAGAGGCTCTGGGTTGGTGGGAGCTCTGGGTTGGTAGAGGCTCTGGGTTGGTGGGAGCTCTGAGTTGGTAGAGGCTCTGGGTTGGTAGAGGCTCTGGGTTGGTGGGAGCTCTGAGTTGGTAGAGGCTCTGGGTTGGTAGAGACTCTGGGTTGGTGGGAGCTCTGGGTTGGCAGAGGTTCTGGGTTGGTAGAGGCTCTGGGTTGGTGGGAGCTCTGGGTTGGCAGAGGTTCTGGGTTGGTAGAGGCTCTGGGTTGGTGGGAGCTCTGGGTTGGTAGAAGTTCTGGGTTGGTAGAGGCTCTGGGTTGGCAGAGGCTCTGGGTTGGTGGGAGCTCTGAGTTGGTGGAAGCTGTGAGTTGGTGGAAGCTCTGGGTTGGTAGAAGTCTGGGTTGGCAGAGGCTCTGGGTTGTCAGAGGCTCTGGGTTGGTGGGAGCTCTGGGTTGGTGGGAGCTCTGGGTTGGTAGAGGCTCTGGGTTCGTGGGAGCTCTGGGTTGGTGGGAGCTCTGGGTTGGTAGAGGCTCTGGGTTGGTGGGAGCTCTGGGTTGGTAGAGGCTCTGGGTTGGTGGTAGCTCTGGGTGGATGCAAGCTCTGCATTAATGGACTTGCTGGAGTCCACTCAGGCCTAGAGCTCCTGCACCAGTACCCCTGAGTGCCTGGTGAGAAAAGTCCCCAGCAGGAGGACTCACTCCAGAAACAAAAGAGGAAGCTCAGGGCGAGCCTGTCTGGTTCGACTCATTTGCACCAAATCGCACTGGGTGGCAGTTTTATCCCATATAAAAATGAGCACATGTCACATTAGCACTAATTGTTGTGGGAGGAAACAAATGGCTAATGACGAAGGTGCTGAGGAAAATGCTTGAGGCACTGCTACCATTTCACACCCGTACAGCTGCCATCCCTGCCAGCTGCCTTTGCTGCTGATTATGGGATTCAGCCCAGGAGGGAGGGGGTCTCTTTTAATGGAGAGGGGTCACCTCCCTCCAGGCACTGGAAGTCCTCCCCTTCCTCTCCCCGCGCTGGCCACCCCCGTCCCTCCCACCTACTGCCCTGTTCCTTCTGCCCCTGTCACCTGCACATGTCATACCTCTCCTTGGATTTGAAATGGTTGTTCCTGTCATGTATTCTCTCTCTCATCCTTCAGTGACCCTCAGCAGTCCACTCTATGCAAAATGGCATCAGAAAACCAATGGTTTTTTTGTTTGTTTGTTTTTTGTAACAGAGTCTTGCACTGTCACCCAGGCTGGAGTGCAGTGGTACGATCTCGGCTCACTGAAACCTCCGCTTCCTGGGTTGGCACAACTCTCCTGCCTTTGCCTCCCAAGTAGCTAGGATTACAGCTGGGATTATTAGCCAGGCATGCCACCACACCCAGCTAATTTTTTGTATTTTTAGTAGAGACGTGGTTTCACTATGTTGGCCAGACTGGTCTCGAACTCCTGACCTCATGATGTACCCGCCTTGGCCTCTCAAAGTACTGGGATTACAGGTGTGAGCCACAGCACCCAGCCAGAAAACCCATGTTTTAAAGAAAAATCTTTCCATTTACCACAAGGTCTGATGAGGATGCTGCTGAGTGCTGAGCCCCCTGTCTTATTTCCAGCAGGTTTGGATTGACAGGAGTGGGTTGGAGGAGTGGTTGAGGTTGGGCTGACAGGAG